TTTTTTTTAATAATAATAATAATAATAACCCCTCAACAAAGCAGGTGTAGGGTTAAAAGACAGATGGGTATAAAATCCAGCCACGTGAGTTGCAGTAGGAAGAAAGGGAGAGCCGCCCATCAGGCAAGGCCCGGGGGACAGGCACACTCCCTGTGTGCCGGTGGAGGCCGCTGTAGAGAACCCAGCCCGGCCCGGCTCCAGCCCTCTCTCCTTGAACCTTGTGAAAGCCACAGAAGCCTTGAACACGAGGACAGGAGGGGCGCTCAGTCCGAGTCCAGAGGCGGCAGAGGCCAGGCAATCAGGCTGTGGCGGACCCTTCTCCCACCAGGGCACACCTGGCCATGTGCTCAGGCGTCCTGCCTCACAGAGGCCGCTTCTGGGCTCAGGATCTCTTTCAACACAGAGCCCTAGGCAGCAGCCGTCAGCAGGTGGAGTGGGTGTTTAGGACGAAGTCAGCTTGGATGGCCTGACCTAACTCAGCCCCTTCATGTTATAGGTGAGGGCGCTGGCCCCGGGTCACACACAAGGACTCCCCTGAGGCTCAGCGGCCCCACTTGCTGGGCTTAGAAAACTGAGGATCTTCTCCAGAAGCTGTGGGCCTGGTTTGCAGGCTGGCTCCTTGGAAGAGGCAACTCAGGACAGGGAGGTTTTGGGGGACTGGGGAGACGGGGAGGCCTGGAGGCGCTCTTGGCTCCCTTCCCCAACTTGTCTGGGGTCCTCTTGGAGGGCAGGGACGGGGGAGCTACACCTCCTGGCTCCCCTCTTCTTCGGAAGGAAATCCGGACGGGCACTGGTGAGTCTCTCCCAGTCCGGCGCCCCAGCCCCAGCCTGGAGTGGCCAGCTCCGCCCAAGATGCGGTCGTGGGGGAGGCGGGAGGGCAGGGAGGAGGGACAGACAAAGGAGGCAGTTAGTTGCAGGGCTGGGCTAACACCCAGTGTTCCTTCCTGTTCGTGATTTTAGGACATGATTCATCGAGGGGCTGGGTCAGAGCAGAGACAAGCAGAACAGGGGGCGAGAGAGAAGGCTCCTTGCCCTGACCGCACCAAGAGGGGAAGGGGAGGGGGTCCGGCTGCCCAAGCAGCCCCTGCAAGGCAGGGAACCCCTGGGCCCCCAGAGAGCAGGCCGCAAGGAGCTGGCTTTGTGGCTGCCTCTGAGGCTGTCCCCCTGCCATGGAGACAGCCACTGCCAGCACGCCAGCCCAGCCACGGCTCTGCCTCCCAAACCAGCCTCAGCCACAGCACCTACTGCAGCTAACTTCCCTGTACAGGGTTGCCCAGAAGGTGTCTTTCAGTCACCTGTGGCTCCTGACAAAGCCAGATTGTCAGACTGGGGAGGGGGCCCGGAAGCCTCCACGTGTAAGAAGCCTTTTAGATGATTCTGCTGCTGGCTGAAGCTGGAGAGCCATCCCTCTAAAGAGTCCACTAGACTGCCTGGCACACAGTAGGTGTTCAATAAATACTGGTGGGAAAACTGGCTGTTCTTTTGCACGATGCCTGCTGCTGCTGAGCCTTCGTCTACACGTTGCAAAGCACGGTCATCGGCTGGCTGTGCGTGTGAGGTGGTGGTGGGCTCTCTAGGGCTAGGGGCTGTACCGGGGAGTGAGGAGAAGCACCAGGGGCGGGGGGCGGGGGGCAGGCCAAGGTTACAGATACTGTGCAGTGCAGCCCCCTGAGCTGGCGACCAGAAGACCATGGTCCTGTCTGCTGGAAGCCTGCTCGTTATCCATTACTGAGGAGCAAGTGGGCATTTCCTGTGCTGTGGGGCTGGGATCTAGGACATGTGGGGTCTGGGAGACAAGGTTGAATGGGTGGGGCCTGTGCCTTGACCCTGACATCCACTCTTTCACTCGCTCACTTGTTCACTCATTCATTCATTCGTTCACTCGCTCATTCACTCACCCCTTTATGGCCTCCTGCACACACTAGTCCTGCACGAAGTGCTCACACACTTCAACTTTGTTGCGCCCTAGTCCCCAGGGAAGTAGAGGGGCCGTGACTGCGTCCCACTGCCCTCAGGGGCCACACAGCCCTGCAGCGTGAGAGGCAGCTTGGCTGAGGCTTGAGAGCAGCCAGCCTCGTGTGAATCGCTGAGCCTTTTCCTGGCCATGTGGGCTCATGATGAAGCTTGACCCTCCTGCGCCAGCACAGCTTCTGCAAGTCTGCTGACTGCTGGTATTGTAATTACTCAGAGGGGAGAGGGACATCTGAGCAGCTAACCAGACTGAGGTGAGTGTTAGGCTGACAGTCTGCTGAAGTCCCAGCCCCCGCCTGGGTTGGTGGGGTGTGGTTAAGAGAAAGTTTCAGAGCAGAGAGAATGGGGCTTCGATCTGAAGGACGAAGAGGTGATCACCAAGCAAACACGAGGGAAAGACACTCCTGGCATAGGAACCTGTGTGGATGAGGCATGGATATGGGCACTTGGGGTTCCTTAGGGCGTTAGAGGGGGGGCGGGGGGAGGTCTGCCTGGCAGGCAGGCTGGGCCGGGACGCAAAGGCCTTCAGCATCGCGCTGCAGAGGCTGAACTCTGTTCTGAAGGCTGTGGTGAGCCATGCACTAGGACCTGGTTTCTCAACATCTCTCAACGTTTTGGGCTGGATACTTAGTTTTGGGAGCGGTCCTGTGCATTGTAGGACATTTAGCAGCATCCCTAGTCTCTATGCACACGATGCCAGTAGCATCTACCCCTGCCCCAAATGTCTCCAGACATCGCCAAATGTCCCTTGGGGGAGGGTGGCAAAGTCACCCCTCAGCTGAGAACTACTAGGCAGGGGAGAATGACATGACCGCTTCTTGCTTTTGAGAGCTGGCCCTGACCACACTAGGGAGCACAGACTGGAACGACGGAGCCTAAAGTCCAGAGGACCAGTTGGGAGGCCGATGGAGCATCACCAGGGAGAAATGGCCAAGGTCGAAGCCCAGACTGGGCTGTGAGGCAGGAGGAGGGGGGCAGCGTGTCAAAGGGACCTCCTGTGCCATCACTGAGCTTCACCGGGTTCTCTAAGGGCAGGTACCACATGGTGGGTGCCAAGATCAAACCCTGTCTTAGAGAGCGAGCCCTGGGCCACCTGTGCAGGTCACGCTAAGTGACTCAACGTCAGATGGTTTGCGCAAAATTTGTCGTCCCCCCACCCCAAGCCTAAACAAGATGTTGGGTTTGGAAAACCCAAGGGAGAGGATTTGGGGGCAGGAGTCACCACGGTGCTGAGAGCGCTGTCTTGGCGAAGGGGGTGGGGCTGCCTCCCTTTATTGGGGCCAAGCAGGAGAAGCTGCAAGGGACCACTCTGGAGCTTGATAATCATGGGAGTTCAGGGCCCCCAAGACCGATGGGAGATTCTTGTCTGCTCTGTGCACTACTGAGTGCCCAGCACACCAGGGCGGGCACACAGCCAGCGCTCCACAAAGGTGTGCGACAAGAGTTAGAGCCTTTGGCCGTCAGGGTCTGAGGCACCAGGGCTGGAGTGAGACAGGGTACCCAGGGGAGGGGCCGAGCTGCCACTGGGGGGGATGAGTCAGTGGAACCCACTGGGCTTGAGGTGTGTACAGGGACATCCATGAAGGACCATCTGCTCCCGCTTCCACCAGGTGACACCCCTCTCCTTGGCCTTTGGGTCTCTCCTGTGAAGCAGGGAGGCCTCCAAACTCCTTCCAGGTGAGACCTGCAGGAGTCAGAAGGAATCGTCACGTGAGTTTCTGAGACGGGTGCTGAGAAGTTAAGGCTGTGGCCTCTGCTGACCACACTCTCAGCGAGGCCCATCTCTTCTCACCACTGTGTGGGAACCAGGTGATTTCCAAGCCTCCTGGTCAGGAGGTGGGATTTTCCATCTGCCTATAGTCACTTCCCAGTTTCTCACTCAGCGCCTAGAAGCAGCATCTTTACCGTCTCCATTACAGGAGGTGGTGGCCCAGAGCAGGCATCCCTGGATCTTTTGGGGCAGCCTGCAGGGAGGGAACAAGGAAACAGAGTCACCTCCTGCCACCCTGCCCATCCCACTCCTCAGAAATGTCCTGTGTGCTGGGCACAGGGACTTCCAGGGCTGGGGAATATGTTCTGGTCACACAGGACTGGCCTTGGCATCAGAAATGGCACTCAAGGTGAGGGGGAGCAGATGGCAGCTACTGTGGGTGCCCGGTCACAATGAAAACTCCAGGGGAGCCAGCCCTCACGGCCCTTGGCCTGGGCCAACCTCCTGTGGTCCCCCGGAACTTCCTAGAAGGCTTCTGTCCCAGCCTCTTTTTACTTGTCAGCCACCTGGACAGGGGACTCAAGGAAGGAAGTTAGGGCAGGGTCTGGCTCCCTGAGAAGGGCTCGAAGAATGTGTAAGGATAGATGAAAAGATGAGTAACAGCAATAACAGCTAATATGTATACAGAGATTAATAAACTACATCTGTACTTTGTCAGTATACCTGCATACGTAAGATATGCTGTATTACGTGTATCTTTTAATCTTTGCAGTAACTCTGCGAGGTTAGTGCAAAGATTCAGACCCAGGTGGTCTGTCTGTCTAGAGTCCGAATGAGTGAACGATCTAGAGCAGCTGTGGTCCTCCTCACACCAGTGTCTGCTTGGTGGGATGCTTTTCCAAATTAGCGCCACAGGTCAAGAGGCACAGCTCCAGGCAGCCACAAATGTGGTGGGAGCCTGTCCCCAGTGTGGTCTATTGCCCCCACACTGGGAAGGGGGCGCTCGGTGAGCCGGGCATCAGAGGGAGTTTGAGGGGTCACTGAGGGCTGAGAGTGGCCGACCCTGGAGGTAGCGATGAAGCTGCGGGTTGGCGGAGGGGGCCCAGGCTCTGCCCTGCGGGGATAAGAGTTGGGATCTGGGAGTCTGCGGGGCAGCCGGCTGTTGGGGGGCGCGGGGCGAGGCGTGAGAGGAATAAGAAGAGGGAGGGGAGGGGAGAGGGGGGAAAGGAGGAGGAGGAGGGCCTTCGGGGCCCCGCCCCGCCCCCGCCCCCGCCCCGCCCCTTACCTCTTCTGCCTCGGCGCGCAGTCTTTCGCTTTCAGTTGGAGGCGCGGGAGCGCTGCCGAACAGAGGGAAGGCGCAGGGGAGCGAGGGCCAGAGCCGGCCGGATCCCTCCCGCCGCACCGTCCCCATGGCTCCCGCCGCCCCTTGGGCCGTGCTGGCCGTCGGACTGCAGCTCTGGGCCGCGGGACACGCCGTGCCCGCCCAGGTGGGTGCCTCGCGTGGCCCACGGGAGCGCCCGCCCCTTCGGCCCACCCGGGCTGGCGCCCACCCCGGTAGCCCCCGGCCGCGCGCTTCCGGGGCGCCGGGATAGGGGTGCGGAGCTCGGGGCGACCGAGGAGCTGCGTACCCTGCTGGGCCAGACATGGTCTGCGCGCCGCTGGAGACCCGCTGGGGACCTCGGTTTGGCACATATGCCCGAAGGAGGGGTGGTGGTCGGGGTGGGGTACAGGGGCGCAGCCGGGTCCCTGTGCCCGTACAGGACAGGGCGTTTGATGATCCCAACTTCGCTACCCTGCGGCTGCCACGACCAAGCTTTCCTCCCCGTGGGGACTGGGGTGCTGCCCCCACTGCGGATGCCCGGCACCCTCTTCGGATGACTTCCCCTCCTCTGGGTTACGGTTTTCCTCTTTCTTAGAAATATAAGGGCTGCCAGGTGTACACTAAACGCCAAATAAGGGCACAACGGACTGTGGGCTGGCTGTCTCCCATGGCCAGACCCCTTCCCCAGGAGCCACCCGGTGTGCCCAGCGGCCGTTTCCGAGCCTCCCGTGTGGGCGCCAGGGTCATGAGGAGGAGACAAGCGTCCTCCGGTCTCCCTGGGCTGACCTCCCCGGAGGGCCTGTACTTGAGCTCTGGGAGCAGCCGAGGCAAGGACGGGCGGGCTTCGCGGTGGCGAACAGGGCAGATGCGGTGTCCCAGGGCCTCCGGGAGCGTGGCGGGAGCAGAAGCCCAGAGCTGTTTACTCTCGCTGCACCCGCCCCACTAGCAAGGTAGAGGAGTGGCTTGCCCCCTGCCTTCTTCCGCTGTCTCCGTGGTCTGGGAAGGTAGAGGGACCCCATTTTACAGAGAGGGAAAACTGGGGCTCAGAGACCTCCTTGTATTTCATGGAAGGGCAGGGGGTGCTCTTCCTTGCGAGGGTCACCTCCTCATTTTCCCCCATTGGTTGGGGGGGAGGTGGGCGTTTGGTATGTGCTGAACCTTCTGGACATCTGACTGGGAGGAAGCTGGGGGTGGTGGCACTGGCTCATGTGTTGATGTTTGGTGACTCACTGGCTAAGGCTAAAGACAGCTGTGGAGTCCAGTTTGTTTTTTGGTGTATATTTATATATTTATTGATTGATTGAATTTATCGGGGGTGACATTGGTCCAAAAAGTCCAATTCTTGAGGGCAGGGGATGGATGCTCTGAATTGACTCACACACAGCAGGTGCCAGGGGGGATGCTGGGGGCCTGCTGCCGAGGTTGTCCTGGGAACAGCGGTGGCCTTCCAGCCAGGAGAGTCCCGGCTCTGAGGTCTGAGTGTGGGCGCTGAAGGCTGCAGGGCTGGCCTGACCCCGGGCCCCCTGTCCTCCTGCGTCCTGCTCCCGTGGCATGTGAGCCCTGGGGGGCGGGGTTCTGCAGTTGTTTGAGGGGTTTCCCTTGCGCCTCTCACTTCCCTCCCCTCTTGACCAACTCCTGTGTCATCTCGGGTCCCCTCCTCCTGAGGTCACCTCCACAGCCTCCTAGCTGATCTCTTGGCCCCGCTGCGCCTTCTCCCATTGACCCTCCTGGCTGGCATCGCGGGGGCGGCCCTGCTCAAGTTGGAGCACCTGTCTCCCTGCCTGAGAAGCCTCGCATGGCCCCAGCGGCCGAGGCAGAAACTCCCCTGGGTGTCCCAGGCCGGAGTGAGTGAGGTGTCCACGTTCTTGCCGCCACTTCTCTGCATCCGCACCTCACGCCCTGTGACACATGCGTGCCTCGTGCTGTCCCCTCTCTGTGGTACACACCTTGCTCCATCTTCCAGGGCGTTTTGCAAATGCCACCCTCTGCAGGAAGGCCTTTGTCTAGTCTCCCTGTTGGATTGGATCATTTCCCCTTTGAACTCTCAGAGCCCTTGTCCCTCTTGAGGACAAACTCCATTCTGCTTTTGGATCTAGTCGCATCTTCCCCACCTCAAAGAAAGTTCCTTGAAGGCAGGAACTGTGGGGACTGTGGGGTCATCCTCTTCCTCATTATCACCAGCACAGGAGCTCCCGTTTTTTGAACATCTACGAAGGGCCAGGCACGGCGCTAGAATTTCCTGCAGAATCTCACTGGAGCCTTTCCTTCAGCAGTTCCTAAAAGGTGGATGGTGCTACTCCCATGTTGAGATGTGGGAACAGGTCCAGAAGGGTTACGACATTTCCCAGGATTGCAGAGCCAGGGGTCACGGGGTGTGTGGGATGTGAACACAGGTCCGCCTGGTTCAAAAGCCTTTTGCCCGTGCCTTCCCACCCTGCATGTCCGCATCCCGGCTCCTGCCCTCAGCCAGGTCCCTCAGCGCAGTGGGTGCTGAGTCATCTTACCGGTCACTAGACCGAGTTACAGGAAGAGCCCAAGGCGACCCGAGCTGGCAGGGACTGGTCACCAGGGCTTTGGCCTCCTTTATTTGTATTTGTTGTATTTGCTGTATTTGTTGGCTGGAATGGAATGGATTGTTCATTCATGTAGTCCTGCATTCATTGGACAATTACTTGCCTGTAAGCCTGGCGGGATAGGTGAGTGCTTGGCGCCCCGTGACAGGACCGGGCAGGGCTGTGCAGCCTGGCTTTTTGCCGTTGCTGGGGCGGGGCTGAGGGGATCTCTGCCTGCTGGGTCTGACGTACCTTCCCCTGGACGTCTTGAATTGAGGGGCTGCTGTTTGCCCCCGCAGTGCCCAGCTCAGGTTTGGGGAGAGGTTGGGGGCTCCCAGGCTGGCCTGGGGGCACTGGCCATTGGAGTGGAGGTGGGTGAGCCAGGATGTCTGCTGTTGCGCGACATCCCTTTGCCCCCTCCCTGACAGCCTCGAGGGGCACCCGTGTGCTGACGAGAAGGTGGCCCAGTGGCCAGGTGCTCCTTCTGAGGGCGGTGGCCAGTTGGCCAGTGCTGGGCCCTAGGGACCCCTCGGCGACCACGGCCCAGCTCCGGCCTTCCAGGAGCCACACTGTCAATGGTCACAGACCTGGGCCCTGCTCTTAACCGCCTGTCACCTGGGCCGCGTTAGTGAGCCTCTGTCTTTCCACCTGTGGACGCGGGGCTATTTTCCACTTGGTTTTCCTCACAGGGCCAGGTGGGTGTGAAAGGCGTTGGAGCAGATGAGGTGTCTGCATTTCAGTGTCTGAGGGCGGCCTTCACTGTCACCGTGGGGCCTGGCCTAGCGGCTCCCGGAGGGCTGTCCCCCCAGGGCTGGGAGGCAGGTTATGACCCTGACCATTCGATGCTTCCTGGACGAGTGGCCAGGACGGTTGTGGGGATGAAAGGAAGTTGATGCCAACTGTGGGGAGGGCGTGTGTGTGAGTGAGTACGTATGTAAGTATGCACATGTGTGCGTTGCATTGAACTCCACACATCAACTTAGTTCTCTGTTTTATGCTGTGCTGGCTGCTTTTCTGTTCCTCAGACATGCCCTCCCCTCCCCTGCCTCAGGGCCTTTGCACTTGCTTTCCCCGTTGCCTTGCGTGTTCCTCCTGCTGGCCTCTCCTGGCCTTATTCCCTCACTTCCTTCAGCTGAAATGACTTCCCAGAGAGGCCCTCTCTGACCACCCTGCCTATGAAAGCCCCCACTAGGCATGCTCGCTCCCTGACCTGCTTTGTTTTCCTAAATAACCCTCATGACCCAGCCTATTTTTCGTGTGTCTTCCCCGGAGGATGCCCATGTGGCGAGGGCAGGGACTTGTCCACTGCTCTTGAGCCGTAGCCTAGCACAGGGTTTCTCATTCGCGGCGCTCTTGACAGTTGGGGGGTTGTTGTGGGGACTGTCCTGTGTGTCACAGGATGTTAAGCCCTATACCCACCACATGCCAGGAGTACTGCCCCTTCAGTTGCGACAATTAAAAATTTCTCCAGATACTGCTAAATGTCCTCTGGCGGAAAGCGGATGAGTGCGCCTGGCTGAGAAGCGCTGGCCTAGGACAGAACCTGGCATGTGGTAGGGACGCAAGATATTGAATAAATGTCCGAGAATATTCATCTGATCTTTACAGTGACCCTGTTTTATAGATGAGATCGGGGAGTTTGAAAAGCCAGTGGTGGCAGAACCGGGCTTCCTCTCCCTGGGCAGGTGTCCTGGGCTCGTCTCTCTGCTGCACTGAGGGTGCAGAGGCGAGGGGTGCTCTCCCCCAAGTGCTCACACCCCTCCCAGGCTCGTGACGGGGCCGCCTGCTGCAGTGACTCAGGGCCCCGGGAGGCGTGTGACTTGCCCCGCAGCAGACAGGGAGGGAAGGAAGTTGGGGCCCGGGATAGGGAGATGGGTTCCTGGGAGACAGGAACAAAGTGGGGATGCTGTGGCCTCCGTCTCTGGACACTCTGCCAGCCACGGGGAAGTGGTGCTGATGACTTAGGAGAAGGGCGTGGCCTCAGAATCAGACAGACCTCAGCACAAATCCTTGCTTTGCTGTCACTGCCTGGGTGACCTTAGCAAGTCTTACCAAGTCTTTCCGTGTCTGGGGGCCTTTGTGTTCCCATTTCACTGATGTCCCCCCCTCACCGGTTGGTTGTCAGGATGAAAAGCACTTCAGTGGTTGGGCCGCCCACGGGCGGCCCTTGGAGCCTCCGTGGCTCTGCCAGCTCAGCCTGACTCTGGGTCCTGGGCTGGGGCCCAGGCCAAGGCAGGGGCCTCTGTGGAACCCGAGTCTCTCTCTGAGCCCTGGGGCCATGGCGTGCGGGTGGCAGGCCTCTGCTTGCCCGGAGCCCCTGCCCAGCATCCCTGAGAACAGCTGCCCCGGCCTTGCTGTGCTTCCTGCCCGGCTGCCCCCTTGCTGGGCCTCATCCCGCCTGCCCAGAGGCCTGGCCTCAGGACCCGACCGCAGGGCAAAGGCTGTGGGGCCAGGAAATCACTGCCCCACCTGTCTCCCCTCCCTTCAGTGAGCGACAGGTGCCATGTCACAGGAGGATGAGCGAGGGGCTGCAGGAGGCCCGTGTTCCCGCCTGCAAGGTGGGCAGGGCTGACTGCAGGCTCCCTATGAAATCCCTTCCATCTCTGACTTCTGT